CAAAATTGTCCTTTACAGTGTGTTCTGTGAATCTAGATATGATAGTTTCAGTGGGATGCCTTGATGGGGGGGTGACACTATTGTATCAAATTTACCATTAATATCAAATTTATGTTTCAGTGTTAAGAAGTGGGAAGTGAAAAAGAGCCACAAATTTAGTTATTAAGGAGGTGTGCTGCTGGCAGGAGCAGCAGTGGACACACATAATGTAGCATGTATGTTTCAGAGTGCTGTGAAGCTGTACGGCATTGATGTTGGTCAATTTTTGTTCCCTTGGAAGATCCTAGAGGACAGCTTGTATTTCTCACTCACATCAAAGATTTTAGCTTTTTAAGAATACTGGTTTTTTTTCTTAATTCAATTGAGCTGTAGGCTTTGAAAGTACATATTTCTCCTAAGGTGACACTTTCTAGATATTATTCCATTTCAACCAAGTGATTCAACTCTATATCAAGCAAATGAAGAAATACCTATATGTTGTGGAAATGTAGCCATTCCACATCTTAGAGCACTGAAAAGTATTAGTTCTTTTTCCTTCCTTCCTTCCTTCCTTCCTTCCTTACTCCCTCCCTCCTATGTGTTCTCTATAGGTGCTTTCTTTATGGCCTTCCTTCCTTCCGTTTTTCACCTATTGCAGCAAGCATAGCTGGAGAAGAATGAAAATCATCTACTAGTTGTACCAAATCATAATAAAAATCTAAACACTTAAGTAGAAAACGCGTCACAGATTTCTGCTGTCGCAAAGCAGCTATTTTTTCCCTCACCATCATCATCAGAAGCCGCATTCTGCCAGAAATCATTTGCTTGAAGCCTCGATATATAAACCCTATGGGGTCTTGTGATTCAGATTTAGGAATATCAGCCACGAGGGTCTAAAGGCATTGTGCATTAGTGTGTATTGAGACCTCGTTCCAGGTGGCAAGCAGCTGGACTTTTGAAAAATAAAACTTCCAAAATAAATTTGAAGTACTTGTTTCCAAGCGATAAGTGTTATGCTTAATGGAATCATCCTCCAAATGTTATAAATGAGGCCCCCAAAAAGGGGAGTTGTGCATATTTAATATATTTGTTTTGTCTCTCCGCTAGTCAACAGAATAATGAAATTCCTTAACTACTTCTCTTTACCTTGCATGAAGAAAGCACGGTATGTTGCTAAAGCTCTTTTCACCAGCTCTGCGGAGAAACAACTTTAATCCTTGTTAGAAAATTGCCGAGTCTGGGACTGACAAAGAGCTCATGCTTGTTCTATTGTTAGTGCTCCGGGGCCCCAAGAGCAGAGCCCGTTACAGCTGCGTGGATCCCGCCTGGCTCAGCTGCACTATTTAGGAGAGGAGGTTTGTCAATTTCTATTGACAATGGAGAGAGTTTTTCAGGGCCTGTAGCAGTGCTGACACAGTTGGGGATCAATGCCAGCCATTCAGACTGCACCCTCTTTCATTGCTTTGGTTTGTTAATTCAAGACTAAAGGTCCACGGAGGGGGTTCAGGGTGTTTAAGAAAGCTGATGAACTGTTTAAGAAAGCTGATGAACTTCGAGCATTTATGGCCCTGGTGTGGCAATTTCCATAGTCAGTGGCAACTCCTGGCACTGAGGGAGCTGTGTCCTTGTTGACCCTCTTGTTATTAAAAATGCACAAGTGCTGCGCTTCTCAATATTTCAACAGTCTTTCATTGTCAATACCACCTTCTGAGCCCTTCAGCTTGTTGCTTGCTCTAAAGATCTTCTTAGATTGGGTTTGAAAACTTCACCTTAAACACTAGATTAGACTGATGTTCTGTTTTCCGTGCTCCTGTTGATTTGTTGAACCTTCCCAGGGCTGGAAAGCAAGTAGCAGCTTGATGGGAAGACGGGCTGCTAATATGATTTACCAGTCTACAGTCATGCACAATAAGTGTGAATAAATACAAGGGTCTCACAGAGTCAACCCTAGCCTTTCCTTTTCTTTTCTTTTTGCTTTAAAAGAGGTATCTCAAGAAAATGAAGTGAGTGAGCCCTTACAGGAGTTTGAATGAACCACAAAAAGAAAAAAAAAAAGCTCCTTTTTTGTTGTTAAAGTGGTAGGCTGCTATCATGGACTGATGAAGGAAAAAAAATGTAAAATATACAGTTACTGCTCTATTCCTGTGTAGACGGAAGCAAAGAAGAAAACACGATGCTGTTCCCTTGACTTCAGCACAGGCAGCACCAGCTCCCTTGTCAGCCCCTGAAGGGAGAAGCAAATCGTCACATAAGTTGCTTACAAAATTAACTTTTCCAAAATGAAAAAGACATTTCCTAACATCCTGAATTCTAGGCATATGCATCCTTTTCAAGTTTTTTTTTTTTTTTTCTTCCTCTTTGTTTCATGTGAAGGCTTGCTTTGGTTTGAGTTGGCAGGGAAAATGAATCTAACAATTTTTATTGTTCTCAAGATGAAAAAGAAGTGGGGGGAACCGACTGTAATTTCCTTCTCAAAAGAAGGATATTAACTCTAGCACCAGAAATATCAACCTGCTAGAGATTTCTGTTTGGTGACTTGGGGGGGAAGGTGGGGAGTACCTCCAGTTTCATCACTGGCAGGAAAGCAGCGATGTAGTAGCATGGTTTTGTCATTAGTCTGTTCCTAGTGGCTGGGCCCAGGGCTAAGCCACTGCATTCCCTAATCATTTGCTCAATTTAGCCACAATCCTCCTTCAAACTGCCTTAACTTAAAACCAAAAACATACGTTCTGAACTGATAGGATAATGTTTCTTGGACCCTTTTCCTTGTAGAAGTTTACCTTCAAAGTAAGATGGTGAAAACTCAAACATTTTACTTACTTGTCACTCTGTTCTTTATTTTGATAGTTAAGTTTAGATTACTTTATCCCAAAGTTCATTTTCTCTTAATTTACAATTTGGGTATTGTGTTAAAATGTAAGATTAATAATAATTTCTGTGTTACATTAAATGCCCCTTCCATTATCTCATAATTATAAGCATCACTACGTGCAGTTTGAAATTAAACTAATTTTAAATTATATGAGGATTTTTAAAGATCATAAAGATATGTATGGAGTGTTTTAATAAGGATTTCTTTTCTCTCAAATTTATACAACTCTCCATGGATATGGTAACTTTATAGTCTAACAGATTAACTGCTACATTGTAAGCCTTTATACAATGCATCATATTTTCTGTACTCCCACAGAAAGGAGAAATTTGCTATCCCATACAAAGAGGCTGGAAGTTTAAAAAGTCTTATCCATTTTGACAATATTTTAGTTTTTAAATTATCTGGACAGTGTGATCTAGGGGTAGGACCCTTAATGACATATATTAATTCGGTATTGCCAGTCATATATATGAGGGCTTAGCTACTTTCAAATGGAAACGGCTAAGGCTAAAGAATTAAAGTGAATCTAAAATGTCAGAAATTAAAGTTAGTATACATCTATAAAGGTTTTGAGATTTAACATGCCAATTGAAGTATGGAGTTCACTAATAATTTATTTTGTAAAATTTACAAGTACAGGTATCTCATTTTATAAGACTTTTTATATTTTGACATGTCATGGACACTGACAACATACTCATTAGGAAGAAATAATGACTATCTCAATTTACTCTGGAATTTAAAACTTGGCATTTCCAGGAATATGTTTGATTGGTCACATTTAGTAAATAAATTCATTTTAATTTTCTTATCACATTTTTGCATGCATGCTCAATAGAGTAGCAAACAATACAAATACCTGAAGTATGAAACCAACTTATTTTTGCCTTGTACTTAAAATGCCATTTCTTATTATACTAAATTGTATTGCAAAGTCAGTACATTCAAGTCTGGGTGAATTTTATACTTGCATCACTTAAGATTTCTTAGAAGCTAAATTTTACTGTTTTGTTATATGGAGAAAAAGTATTTAAGATTTTTTAATACATAATTTTTAATAGCTAAAAATAGGCACATATATAGCCTGTCACTTTGTTTGTATATAAAAGCAGGGCATAAAACCCCTTCTCTTTCAAAAAACTTTTGTCATTTTGCAAGTGAAAAATGGATGTGAATATTTCTCTGTATCTCAATAAGTAACAGCTTTGTTACCACCCAATCAAGATCTGGCTCTGCCATATAATCACCTAATCTCTTACATGTCATAATCAATACCAGGTGCCTTTTTTAGAATAGGGAACAAAAATTCTTAATATTTTTTCTTCTCATACATACATTGTATTATGCAAGAGCAGGAAATTACTTCAGAAAAAAATTTGTTTTTTCCCCTCAATAGAGTAGTAATAAACAAAGCTGATGAAGCTTCTAGTAGCACTTATGAAGTGAAGCAAGTCTTTTCCTTTCATAATCTGGGTGATTGACATCTGTTTTGTGATTCTTACTAGATACAAGGATTCCATCTTTATCTTCATAAGGCTCTTTCCTGTAATCTCAATAAATCTTGATTGTCAGTGGTTTTTAAACAGCTTGGCAATTATTTAAGAACTGATATAGACAAAAGCATGGTCGGGGATTGATGTTCAGTAAGCTGTGGGTACTGTTTGCCATCCTTCCAAATGTTATTTCTAGGCAATGACAACGTGATTTATGTTCTAACACATCTGTCTGATTTTTACATGATAGGAAGACTAATAGGAAATTTCCCTTTGAAAATAATTTACCTATGTTTCCCCCTTGCTGCTTGGTCATCCATTCAATCCCATAATATGTATTTAGTACCCATTTTTACTTACAAATTACAAAGCAGGCCACTAGGCTGCAAAGTGCAAAAACACCGTGAATATGTTACAGCTAAAGACTGCAATGCTAATTCATGTAAAGAATAGTCTGGGTCAACTTAGCAGATTTGCTAGCAAAACATACAATTCTGTTACCAGGAAATTATAGCATTATTGACTTCAAGTGCTGATCTGTGGTCATTTCAGAGTGTTTCATTACCCTCTCATTACCGAATCTGTTAAATGAATACTGCAGAGGTTGTTTCCTTTTTTGTTCTCCTCCCCTCTGCCTCCATCCCTCTTTCCAGCAATGGTACAGCAATTCCATGAAAGTCATTTGTGTGTGGTTGGCTGATAGACTAGACCTGCAGCTTCATATTTACCAACTGAAGACACTCATCAAGATCGTGAAGGTAAGCAAAACATGTTTAAATGTGAATTGCCCCAGCAAGCTATAAAGAATAATGGCAAAAAAAAGAAAAAATGGTTGCTGTAACTGAGTCGTGGGTATAAAAACTCACAGTGTTAGACTGTGCGCATAAGTCCCAGAACACAATGACCTGAATGTGTCAGATCCACAGTTTTGCATTCATTTTCTTAAGAATTGAGTGCATGCTCATAATGTATTACTTCATATTTATTGGAATCATATGTCAGTTGTGAGGGCTTTTGAACTGCATTTGCCAATAGAATGGGGAAAATCTGATATTTCACTATGCCCTGGTTTAAAAAACATTACACATTGTAACTGCCTGGATTCTTTTGGAAGTATGCCTCTTCTTATTTCTTAGATGTAAAAGAGAGCCAGTTGGAGTGGCAGAGACCATCCAAAGCTGTTAACACAGATGTCATACACATTCAACAAAACATTTTAACTTTTTTTCTTCAAAAGAAAAGATAGTATCCTGTATATTACCTTTAATGAATAGAGGCTTTAAATTTTCATTTGAACATCCTTTTTCATTTTGCAAATTTTAGTGGAAGCACAAATTTACCTCAAGTTTAACTTTTCTTAAAATTGGATAAAACTTTGTTTTTGTGGCTGAAAATAAACTGTTGAGAATCAACTATTTTAAACAGAAGTCCTTTAATTTGTTTTGTGCCATTTATTAGTGGTGCTTATGTATATGTACACATGATGAGATACATATGCATTAAGTTATACGTGTGTAATCACACAGAGGTTCTCCATGTGTCATTCTGATCTAGCACAATCAGCATTACCTACGGATTTTTCAGAACTGCACATTCTTGGATAACAGCCCAGACCTGTGGAATCAGGAATGAATGGGAAGACCCAACAATCTAGAGATTAACAAGCTTCCAGAGGATTCTAATACATGCCCAAGTTTGTGAATAACTGCCATGTTATATCCTTAAAAGAAATTTCTAGGGGCTAGAGAGATGACTCAGCAGTTAAGAACACTGGCTGCTGTTGAGGAGGACCTGGGCTCAATTCCCAGCACCTACATGGCAGATAACAACCATCCATACCTCTAGTTTCACAGGATGCGACACCCTCTTCTGACCTCCGAAGGCATTGCACTTACTCATACACATAAAATAAAAACAATAAATATTTTTTAAAAAGAAATTCCTAATCACCTTAAAATATTTCCATCATTCTCTTGGTTAATGCAGTCTAATTCAAATACAAATTATTTTTTGTTATAGATATACAAGTTACCACAAGTTAGAACCACAAACTGAATGCTATTCCAAAATCAGAAATGGGAAATTCTGTTGGAATATAGAAACAAAGCTATGTCGTTATAATAATGATGATGATCAGTAACCACCTATGACATTTTGGTACTCTAGCTAAACATTACATTTAATAAACAAAATATCTTTAATCCAAAATACTCTTAGCAGATAATATTTGTTTTACAAAGAAGCTGAATGCCCACCATGATGCCTCCAGCTTTGGCGTACGTCTCCGCTGCTCTTCCTTACTTCTGTACACGTGACTTAGCTTTCAAGTGAAGTTTCTTTGGCATAGAAGACAATGAGGAAACTCTATTTACCTTCTGCACACATGTATCTGTTAAGGTTGCAGTTTATACTGTTATTCACCTCGGGTCAGCTGGCTGTCTTCACCAGCAACCATATTTTCAAGCTCATATTTGCCTTGTTCAGGATGTCAGAAGTTATATATTCAGCCAACAATTACTTGATAGATGACTGAACTCTTTGTTTTTCAAATTAAAATGTTCAATTTTTTACTGGCCCATCATTTGTTTATTCAAAATTTCTCCTTTTTTTCTTATTTTTATTTTATGTGTATGAGTGTATTGCCTGCATGTCAGTAAATGCACCCATGTCGTGCAGTGCCGTGGAGGTCAGAAGAAGGTTTCAGATTCCCCTAGAACTGGAGTTAAGGATGGTTAGTAGCTGCCATGTAGGTTCTGGGAATCAAACCAGGCTCATCTGGAGGAGCAGTCAGTGCTCTTAACTGCTGAGCCATCTCTCCAGACCCTGAAAATTACTCCTTTTCTTATCTTCATCCATCTTTACAATTAATGACCATGTACCGTTCTCACTTTTATTGAAATGTAGTTGATAAAAATTGAATGTAATTCAAGTGTACAATAGAATTACAGTTAATGACATAGACATAAAATATGCTGAGAGAATAAATCTCATGTTCTCACCAGTGAATTTTTTTGATTTTTGTTTGTTTGTTTGTTTGTTTGTTTTAGTTGGTTTTTGTTATTGAGACCTGAAACTCACTATGTGGAGCAGGTTGGCTTCGATCTCATAGAGATCCACATGCCTCTTCCTCCTGAGTGCAGGGATTAAAAGCCTGTGCCACCACACCTGGCTACCAGTGAATATTTTAACATAAAAGAACAATTAATAACTATAAATTATACTGTGACATTTTTAGTGTACTCAAGTCCAATCACTTTTATCTCATATTTAGATCTCCATTTATGACTGACAATAGTCAAGTCTGGTAAATATGAATTAGATTTCATAAATGTGTGACTTTACATGCTTAGCTTTTTAAAACATTTTTCTGCTTTCTATACTGGAGATTGAATTTAAGAGCTCATGAATGCTAGGAAAACACTCTAGTACTTAGGTAAATTGCCAGTTTCTATTTGTATTTTTATTTTGAGACACTGTCTTGGTAAGCTGCTCAGGGTAATCTTGGACTCACTTTGTCACCTGGCCAGGTCTTGAACTTTCAATCATCCTATCTTAGGCAACCCTAAGTATCAGAAATAACAGGCCTGTGCCTTCAGGCCTAGCTCATGTTTACCTTTCTACAAACTTGTCCCCAAGCTCACACAATAGTTTCTTGACTTATACATTTACTCGTCATAAGGTTCTAGCTAATAATTAAAATCATTATCTCCACAATGAAAACCAGGGTGAATTAATAATTTATCATTTTAATTGTTTTCTCCTACTTTGGGTATAAATAAAATAAGCCAATTGCATACATAGATTCGTCAGTTCTTTAGAATCCATATAATTTACTCATAATGATGATTTTCCAATGAATTTGTAAAAAGATATTAAATCATACATATGTAGAATTGAGGCCATTAAGTAGACTTTACTTCTAGCCAGATCATTTGGATTTGACCTGCATGTTACAGCAGATCTCTGAATTCTACCCTGGAGTCAAGCCACTCAGCTCTAGTTCTTATTATTACTACCAATAGGCTTTGTCAGTCTTTTAGGCCCAGAGAGACTGGGAAACTGTATGACAGTCAACTTTGTCCTAGAAAAGCACACACGAATTGATTTCATTCATTTTTTTTTCTTAAAGTCCTAGTAAAACTGATATAAGAAATTGAGGTCTATGAAATTATTTGTGAAAGTTTGACATCAGGATGATGTATTTGATAAAGGGGGAAGTGGAATCCTCCAAAAATCAAAATGGATATTGAATTTGTGTTCTCCCTAGTGGCCATTAAGCATCTTAAAGCAGTTAACATAATTCAGCTGCTGCTTTTGCTCTGAGCAAAGAATGTAAGTGAGCAGCAGACTGTGACAGGCGTTTGTCATAAAGAAGAGCCAGCCAAGCCATTGTGGCAGCCTGAAATGTCCAAGTGCTGGTAATATTTTAATATTTTAAGAATTAGTGATTGCAAGGATGTCAGCACTCTACCTCACCTCACTAGTTATTACTTGCTAATAGATAAGGAAGTGGTCTTAATTGTATATAAATTAGAAAGCTGTTGGGACTGCAAATCCACAATTTTAGTCTGTCATGGCTCACTTACTGATAATTACAGTGTCTAAAGAAAGTCATTCTAATAAAAACAGAAAGGCAAATTTACAAACTCGGTAAATAATTGTCCATGGCACACTACTATATAGGGGATACATCATTTATAGGTGAATATTTTGTGTTCTTAATATAATTTTAATCGAACTGAAAAGGCTATAACAGGCTTTAATACAAATGCTTGTAGTATTATTTTGTTTCGTGTGTGTGTGTGTGTGTGTGTGTGTGTGTGTTTGCATGAGTTTGTGTGCAACACAAATGTGTAAAGATCAAAAGAGGGCATCAGATCCCATGGAACTGGTGTTGTAAATGGTTGTGACCTGCTATGAGAGTACTGGGGTCCTCTGCAAAAGCAGTATGTTCTCGTGACACGGAACCATCTCTCCAGCCAAATACCACATTTTCTGGACAGAATTTCCTTTTCATGTTCACTTCCCTGGTTCTAATATGAATTATGAGTTTTGGTACCATAAAGCAGTGCCACCTTAGTCATAACAACTTAGGAATCAGAATAAGCTATGATCACATCATAATAAGTTTATTCAACTCAGAGAATATGAGAGTGGTAGATTATATGTACCTTAAAATAAGCAATTGAAATTTAAGTGAAAATAGATTTGGTCATCTAAGACAAAATGCTTTCTGAATATAAATCATACCTGTGTGGAGACACTGATCCCCTAATACTATGCAGCATTTCTCAGAGTTCAGGTTATTTATAGACATTGGTGGACTCTTTGAAAATGATTTTTAGTTACATCAAGTGATAAATGGAAAAAATTACATCCTCCTCTACCTTAACATTTCTGTATTTCTTCTGAAACTTGAAGTAATACCATGGGCACAGTCAGGTGAAAGAGGACAGGCAGGTAAACTGAGACAACCACAGTTCTCCCACCACTTTGCAATGAATGGCTCTAATTCTTAGAAAACTGTCAGTAGTAGAGGCCAGGTGTGTTAAATGAGGGGATTAAGATTCACTTCCTAACTTATGTGAGAAGTGCCTTTAGTTCAAATATTTAAATGTTCTGATATTTTCTGAATGTTCTGATAGAAGAGTTTTGAACAAATCTGCTGTATTCAACAAAATAAGATTTGTATTCAACAAAACAAGATTTCTCTTAATTTCCAGCCACTGGGGTTATGATATTGGACGATGAGATTCAATATCCCTCATTTGCCTTTTTTAAATATCTGTTAAGTATAAAAATAAAAATAGCTACCAGAAATCATTTAGAACAATGGCGTATTGGCATCTGCTGGCACATTACACAGTCCATTGAAGTCTTCCAGCTTCATAATCTAAATCTAACAAGTAGCAGAATTGTGAAAGACACTTATCATTAAAACTGTCCTCTAAGTGACTCCACAGAACAGCATATCTTCATGAGTTCTTGGTTTTCCATCTAAATAACTGGGTTTATTGTTTTCTCTTCAACTGAAATCAATACTACTAATAATATTAATCTTCTTTAGTCATGGAAAATATGCAAAAAGATCACACTTTAAAGTAAATTTGAGTGTAACTTTATTATTACACATTTTAAATCCCACAGAAAATTTTTGTTTTGTTTTAAGAATTGCTATAGATGGGCCAGTGAGATAGCTCAGTAGGGAAAGGCACTTGCCATCAAGACTGACAACCTGAGTTCAATCCCCAAGACCCACAAGGTTGAAAAAGAGAACTGACTCAAGTTGTCCTCCTACCTCCACACTGTGGCACGTATCTTCCCCCAGCCCAAAGCACACACACTAAGCAAATAAATAGATAAATGTAATTTTAAATTTTCTCAAAGAATCACTACAGAAAAAATAACATGAAATTCTATTTTATATATGATGTGTAAATTACAACTAAAAATACAGATTATTGTTTATCATTTTATCAAATATTGTAAATGTTCATCTTATTATCCTAACTGTGGAAAATTTTGCCAGAATTTGGCACTTCCAATTCTAAGAGAATTTCAAAGAAAAATGGTAAAATTCTTGTAGACATTTAGATACATAAAATTTTCCCAATAGCACAAGTAAATATATTTTATAATTCATGAATACTTAAAATGTGAACATCTTTACTTTAATATTTTCCTCAAAAACATGCTCCCCACTAATATATATATTGTATAATTAAGTTTATTTTTCACTACTAAAAAAGTTTCTAATATTGAAAAACTAAGAATTCCTTCTTAGCAATAAATGTACATAAGTACATATCATATTACCTTTGTTGCAGATTATTCAGTACTAGATTCTGTGTAATCAGTAATGTTTTGGAAAGGGGAATTTATCATCTGGTAGTCACAGCATTTTGACCTATTCATAAGGATTATAGTGTTAAGTAGCACTGCCCAAAGTCACTCATTCCATTTTCTCCCCAGAATTTCACTAACAAGATGATTGACATGGGCAGCCACAGTTGGAATCCATTAATGGATTTTTTCTTCCAGATGATTCCTGAAATGCCAATTGAGTACATATACTTATGTCTGTATATATGACATATATATATATATATATATATATATGCACACAGTCTAACTTATCAAAGCAAAGTCTCTCTTCTTCTCCCAGAAAACCTATAGGGATTTCCGGTTACAGGGTGTGTTGGAAGGCACACTGAACAGTAAGACATATGATACTCTGCACAGACGGTTAACCGTAGAGGAAGCCACAGCCTCTGTTTCAGAAGGAGGAGGACTTCAAGGCATCACCATGAAAGACAGTGATGAAGAAGAGGAGGGCTAATAACACACACTCCAGAAAAGGAAGAAGGACCTTGACATTGCTCTGTGTACTTTGTCCTTGTAACTATACTTATTGTCTTGACCAAATAAAAATGCTTGTATTTCTTTATAGTGGATTTGGAGATAAAGGGGGAAGTGCTGAGTATTTTTTGGAAGAAAGTCATTATCATCTCATTCGTATTTCTTGACCTAAAATTGGCTCTGCTTGTGATTAGAACATGAACTTCTCTCTCTCTCTCTCTCTCTCTCTCTCTCGTTTTCTTTGTTTGTTTAGAAGATTTGACATTTTTCTGTAGTTATATCAAAATAATGTCCTGTGGGTCAAATGAGATACATTTCCCATAACACAACATTGTGAAAAGAAGCCACTCCTGGTCACCATCAACTCTGTTGTACCTCTGTCAAAATGGTGTGTATCTCTGTTTATAATTTATGTACAAAGTTTGTTTTCTGTGGTTAATTTGCCAGTGTTGTGATGTGTATAAAATTTTAGCCTCTGTTTTCATTATTCTGGTTTGGTTTGCCTATGTAATCCTGGGCTTAATGGGATACCATACCCAAATATAGACTATCTTATCCACAGGCTTATGTTCTGTTCCTTTCTGAATATTTTTTCATGTGTACAAAATCTCCAGGTGTGTTTCCATCAACATACCATATTCTCCTACTTCTAAGTGTAACAGCTTGCCGGCAATAAAAATCCATTTGATCACAGCAACCTCTGTATTCATTAGACTTGTATAGATTAAATGTAGTAAAAGATATTCACAGTATTTCAAACATCTCAACTCTGGCTCTACATTTTTGGTTTTCTTGTTTTATTTGCTGTTTTCAAGCAAATAAGCAAACGTTATAAACATTGTGTTTTATACCTCATGGGTCCACAGATTTGCTGAAAGAGCTATTACAGTGGCACATATTCATAGCAAATTAAATGTTAACTACCCACCCACTCAAATACTGCATATTATTAGCTAATAGCATATCAATAACTAGTAATATTAGCAAGGATATTAATATTAACTAGCAACTGACACAGCTAGCAATAACCCCCACCCCAATGTTTCCTTTTTTCCCCTCAATGTTTTCTTGATAAGATTTTGAAAGATAATGTTATACTTTATAATTTCTCTGAATATTTTTTCCCAAAAATATACTGGCATATGCTACTGCACTCATTCATAAGCACACTTTTGGGCAGTCTGGAACTCCAGGACTCCCATGATCCTCCTTTCCTCAGCCTCCTGAGTAGCTGGCACTGTAGTTGAATACCATCTGCACCTTCCTATATTGACAATCAGTTCTTAAGTTAATGTTAAATTAATGAAAGTACCCATGAGTTTATGAACAGTTATGTGCTAAACCTTCAGAAATGCCTTGAACCTCCAAACTTGTTCTTCTGTAAGATCATAAATGGTGATTAGGGTATTCAGACAAGTTCACAAAAATCTATTTTACCCACAGTTGTTAGAAAGCAATATTTGGGCCCAACTTTTAGGTCCTAAAGGTAAGATGACAAGACAGACACAAAAGAAGGCAGTTTGTGCTGGGATGGGCACCTTCTGCTCTCCGTTCCTCCATTCAATCCCCTTTGATTTATGCCCCTTAATGCCCAGTCTTGCAACTAACTCCTCAACGGCACCTTCTCCCCAGCAGGAATTGCTCTATACTTGGAAACCTGTGTGTGCATGCACACATGTATGCTTGCACACATGAACTGAGGGTCTAATGCATTCTAAGAATTCGCTCTACTACTGACCTACTCCAGGATGGGGGGGGCGAGAGCTCCTCTTCCTTTCCAATGAATGTCCATCCCCTTAATAGGGTTCATGTCATTGTACTTGACTGATGTTGTTCTAAAATATCCTAACTGATGACCCCTGCCCTGTTAGCTCTATCAGAACTCTTTAAAAACAATAACTACTCAGAGAAAAACGGACTAGTTGACAGGACTCACAAGCAAAGGGAAGAGCAGGTGGTTCAGGGATGGCAAGGGGAGCAAAAATTTGGGCAGGCCCTGTCTCTTTCACCTGGTTAGGATACCCAGTCTCCTCAACCTCAGGCTTTCTGCAGTTGCTGATGCTTTCTGCTCCTTTTCACAGCCCTGAGTTTCTAGGTGCTACATTCCCTCCCTCCCTCCCACCCCAGGCACCCATGGTCAGGGCAATATTCAAGCAAAGGGAGTCATGGACCCGCTCATATTTTTACAGGGTCCGTCTGCACTGACCTTTGAACCACAAAAAAAGTGTGTACCGCATATTTAAAGTAGTAACTCAGGAAAAGGAGAGAAAAAATGTTTTGAGGACTTTGGTCCAGGAATTCTCTTCACTCTAACAGCAAATTGGTTAAGATGACTTAATTGTCCATTGGTCTGTAAGATCATTGGAATGAATGTCTAAGTGTCTACTAAAGGAACCAAGTTTTAGATGGGGTTATTCTTTAAAATATACTTTGGGGTGGGGGTTGAAAATCTAACAAGTTTTTCAGAACTTTTGAAGTGGAATCACTTTTAACTCAGAAGAAATATCTTTACCCTCCTGAAGGCTCAGAAGAAAGGGCAGAATCGTGTATTGTGCTGGTTATAGGGTGAGTGCTGAGCAAGAGAGTAATCGACCTCCACCTGAGTGGGTTTCTTAACCCATCCGAAAGGAAAGTTCCTCCAAACATTTGTTGAAGAAAAATAACAATAATGCACCCCCCCCGCCCCGAAAGAGAAAGCACTACACCACCCGGTGTAAACCTCTCTGCCAGCTGTGGGTTGTCTCTGCATTCACGCATTTTTCCACTTGAATTCCCTTTAGCCGGGGCTCATTGTCCTTGGCTCAGGAGAAGAGATTTCCTGCCAGTTTTCTAATAAACGTCTGTGCAAAAGGGTGTTGGGGCTCCCACCCCGCCCCTCCAGGGTCACGGCCTGGCCTGGGGATGCTGTCCTTAACCCGCGATGATGACCCATGGTGACAGGAGGCACCGTTTCTTCCATGAGCGCTGAGGTGCCCAGGACAACCTTTCCCACTGCATGGTGCCTCCTCCCCGGCCCCCGAAGGCCCCACCGCGGGACGAACTCTGCGAGGGACCTAACTGCAGCTGCAGACGCACTGGAAGGTTGCTGCCCCGGTGTCAGGAGCGGAGCATCCCCACCCACCGCCTTCCCAACCCTGTACCCCAAGTTCGGGGGCGGGGTTCAAGATGAAGAGCTTGGTCACTTTTATTATTCCCATCACAGAAATTGGAAATTTGCTGATCTGGGTCCCCGAAGGGAGGCGACAGATGTCCTACCCTGGGAGACACACACTCGTTCTGGGGTAACCTGGAAACCTGAAGGGGGACGAGGTATAGTGACCCTCCTTTTCCCTTCAAGTCCTGCCCACATGAACCTTGGGGAAGGCCTCCTACGTTTTGTTGACCTTGATACTGTGTGCAGAGGGAGTGGAGTCCACAGGTATAGGTAGCAAGACAGGGACAAGGAGAACCTGGAAACTGTGACATTTATGAAATGTGACAGCAGGTGAAGGCAGGTTCCCGCCCCAGCTCAGGATGAGGCTATCCCTTGGCTATATTCCACTGTCCGCTGAAGACAGAGTGTAAAGCTAATGTAAACTGACCTTCCTGTGCTATACTTACGATATTTAAGGGAACAGAGGTAGTACAGGCTAAGTGCAAAATTCTGAGCCTGTGGTCCACAAGTCACAAAGACCCAGTTAATCCACGAACAATACTTAGAGGTTTTCAGGGAGTTTTGTTCAGGTACAAGGAGAGCAGTGCAAGCCTGTAGTTCCCGCTACTCAGGACGCTGATTCAGGAGGTTTGGGAGTTAAGGGCCACCTGGGCTGTATAGCAAAACACAGTTTCAAAGTATAAATGTGAAACTACTGGGCTTCAATATAGCTCTGTCACTGAGCAATTGCCTTTCAAACCTGACAAGGAAGGGGGAGGTTCTTTTTCCTCCTAGGTTAAAGGACTAAGGAGAAGAGCTCACCTGACAGCAACTTAGCCACCTGCAAAGAGCCCAGCTTTAGAGTCAGAAAAATCAGTGTGGATTTGAATACTGATGGGTCACACCTTTTCCACATTATCTAAGCAATGTGGTATTGAACAAGTTTGGGGCCACCTAATAAGGTTGTTCTAAGGATTAGAGTCATGTTATAAAGTTCTGACTGTTATTAACCATTTCTAAGCATAGTGATGGATTTCAAGGAAAGGCTTCAAGGGAAGCCTGCCTGGACCAACAGACACCACCAATCTTACAGGTCATTCTTCCTGGGGCAGGCACAGATTCCTTCTGGCTCACACCAAGCCTTCTGAGTCTCTAGCCCCATGTCTGGAATGTCTGTGAACTGACTAGAATTATCCAGATCCAGCTTTATAAAATCCCAGAAGTTATTGGGAAGAGAGGGGGTGATTGGGTGGGGAAAGGGGGATTCTGGTCTCTTGAAAAGACCTAACATTGTCATAGAAGCCTATGATGCTGAGGATGGGAAGGGAGGCAGCGGGAGGTACTGATTCTACATGGGAATGGTGGTCAGGAACTCTGAAAGGGAGAGAATGGTCAGAATTAGTGCCAGAATACAAGCTAGGAATCTTAGGTGGAGGCTTATAGTCAGTATGGGTAAATTCCAGGGAATGTCAGGGGGCAAATAGTGTGCATTAACATTTTCCTAGGTGCAAGTGGGTGTCTTGAGCCCTAGAACAGGGGTGTAACACAGGCAACCACTTGCAAATTGACAAGCAGCAGGAGGGAGGGGGGAGAGAGAGACAGAGACAGAGAGAGAGAGAGAGAGAGAGAGAGAGAGAGAGAGAGAGAGAGATTATGAATCTGAAGTCCCCACCCATAACACACTATAGTCCCAGGCATAGCATGGAAGGACCATGAGTCATGTTAGGATGAATCTAACCCTCCCCAAGTTACTGAACTGGAAGTGGTTAGAGACTGCCAGGCCCAGCATGGGGTGGAGGACACATTCCAGAGTCACCATGTAAAATATCAGTGTTCTGTCGGTATTCTGATTCTGGGGATCCTTTGCCCCTGGCAAGGCTGAAACACAAACTGGATATAGCCATGCAGAGGCAGAAACTGCACACTCGCTAAAGAAGAAAACAAGATGGCAGCACTGGGTTGGGACTACAGCTGTTTAACTTGAGGACCATTCCCCACCCTAATCATTCCTTTTAAGCCAGCTTCTAGTTTCTGAATCCCAGAAGTGAGGACTAAATGCTATGACCTTTTCAGTGTCCTTATACTTTATGATGAAGGGTTTTATATTTGGTGTTTACTTGTGATTAACTGAGAAAACTCAACCATAAACCTTCTAGACTTGTCTCCAATTTCCATCTACATCTACATTACATCTAGATCAATGATTCTCACTTCCAAGAGGAAGCAAAGAGTTATTTTAAATGAAGAGTTGATTTCAAAAACCCTCAGACACACAGTTACTCTTCCCACACGCTGGCTTGTTTGCTTATAGAGCCCTTACACATAGATGCTATCAATATCTCCTATATAAAGAAAAAAGTAGTGCATCAAATTATTTTATTATCTGCTCATATGAATTCTAGCATGCATTTTAGCAGGACCTCTCTTTACTCCACAAGTAACATCTCTCTTGAGTGAGATTGAAAGAAAAAAATTGTTTAAGCTCTGGTTTATTCTTCATGGCATTTCCTTAGCATGCCATTAAGCAATACTAGCCATACATTTCTTAAAAATATTTTAT